GGGGGATGCGGGGAGGGGGGGGGGGAAGGTGTCCGCAGCGTCCCCCGGGCATTGCGCGCTGGCGCTCCGGGAGGAGGACACCAACCTGGGCAGGGGGGAAAGCCCCCAGCCCTCTCCCCTTTCCCCCAGCATCCCCGTCCTCGCTTTGTTTGAAGAGCCCTGGAAGTCTGGCAGCGCTGTAGCGGGGTGGGGAGGAGAGGGTAACGGGGATCCCGGCAGGAGCCGGGGAGGGCAGGAGGAAATGCCGCCGAGACGTCGCTCCAGGGGTCCCCGCAGGGCGAAGCGGCACAGAGCTTTAATCCTGACTGTGCTGAGCCCTCCGCCGCAGCGGGCGATTTTCTTAAATCTTCTTTTAGGTTAGTCCGTCTGCCTGAGAGTGTGACATATCTTTTTGCCTTTTTTCTTTTTTTTTTTTTTTGCGGAGAGGGTGGGAAACAGATGCCCCTTTGCAGACAGGGCTGTAGCAGGAAAGTAAGTCGGTTTGCCATCTTATATCAGGTTACATTTTTGTTTTTTCCCCCCACCCCTTTGCTTTTCTCCTCAGGTGGTTTCAGTAAGTTCCAGGCCGAGTTCGCCCTGCACTGCGAAACTAACCTAGACAGTTCGTGTAGCAGCAGCTCTCCTCCTTTGCCAGTCCTGGGCTTGGGAGGCCTCCGAATCAGCTCCGATTCCTCATCAGACATTGAATCTGACATTGACAGAGACCCCAATAGTGCCACCGACTCCGATGGCAGCCCCCTCTCCAACAACCAGCCTTCCTTCCCGGTGGAGATTTTACCCTACCTCTACTTGGGCTGTGCCAAGGACTCCACTAACCTGGACGTTTTAGAAGAGTTTGGCATTAAATACATCTTGAATGTTACCCCCAACCTGCCTAATCTCTTTGAAAACGCCGGCGAATTCAAGTACAAACAGATCCCGATCTCTGACCACTGGAGCCAAAATCTGTCTCAGTTCTTTCCCGAGGCTATCTCCTTTATAGGTGAGACCCGGTTATTTGCGAACAGCTATATGTCAAGCGGCAGAATTTAATTTCTTTTGCAGAATTCAGGAGATTTGGGGCGAGAAGCGGTAGCAGCGTTTCTGGCAGTCTCTAGGGGATGCCCTGCTTTCTGGTTTTAAAGCCGGCTTAAGTTGAGGGGCGGGTGGGAGCCGCTCGAGGGGTTATTGAGGAGCCCTGGTGAACTGTAAGGGAGGTTTGGAGGTTGCAAACGCACACCTGGCTTGGCTGGCTGTGGGACTGCTCGCTGAGCCGTCAGTCGGAGCTGAGGACTGAGCAATGCGCAGAATGGGGGATCTTCTTAAATCTCTTCCTTGCAGGGTGGGGAGGGAAGCAAATGAACCCGGGCTTGATGGCTTATTCGTATTTTTTTTATTATTTTTTTTGGGGGGGGAAGGGGGAAGAGTTCTTCTTGAGGTTACTGAAGAGCAGTATAATAAAAAGAAACGATCCAGGAAGCTAACTTTAGCTTTTAACTGCAAGTTATTCATAAACGTTATTCCTGGCAAATGTATAGTCAGAGCTTTAATTAAATCTTGTGGTAATAATGATATACCTCTCGGGCTCGGTGCCTCGGTTAGCCAGCCCTTAGACATTATCCCTCAGCTTTGGAAAGGCGTCCCCTTGGGCTCAAGGAGTTCTGGTTAAAATTTGCTCTCTCCTTGGTTTCTGGGAGGACTAAAATCACCCCATCGGGGTGCGGTGGGGTGGGCATCTCATTATCTGTTGGGAAGCTGTGCTGTAATCCGGTTGAATGATACCGGTAATAGTGGAGAATGTAGGTAATCTGAGCCCAGCAGGAAGAAATGTGGGCTGGAAGCCACAAAGAAACTAATCTCCAGGCATTGTAATGCATTTCCTATTACAAAGGAACCCATTTTCAACCAATGTTGACATCCTGTTCCTCCTAATGGGCTGTCCCCTGTGACTTCCCTCATTCTTTTAAAATGCCTGAATACCTCCATTGTTAGCTGCACAACAGTTGGAGAATAATTTAATAGACCTTTGCAGTCTGCTGGTCTGTATAAAAGGCATTCAGTGACATATTGCAGGATTTCCATGCTGGGGCAAGGGGACTGTAAGAATTTAAGGCAAATCTCCGGGCAAAAGCATGTCTTTTTAAAAATGACTTTTAAAACAGTGTCATGCAGCGTATCCTGCTCCCTTTGTCTCATTTTTAGTTTTCTCAGCGTTTGGACTCAGTATATATACCAAGGGGGGTGGATTCTCCTCTTGTCCTGGTTTTAAGCCGGTGAAGTTAACTCTTGTGTTGCACTGCTGGCTACCGGGATCAGAATCGTCCTTTCTTCCTACTTGATACTAATCTCACTCGTGTAGAGAGATCAGTTACCAACCCCGTGTCTTATGTGTCCTCCTCTGCCTCTTTGTCTCCGTACAGATGAAGCACGGGGGAAGAACTGCGGCGTCCTGGTGCATTGCTTAGCAGGGATCAGCCGCTCGGTCACGGTGACGGTGGCCTACCTCATGCAGAAGCTCAACTTGTCCATGAACGATGCCTACGATATTGTTAAGATGAAGAAGTCCAACATTTCGCCCAACTTCAACTTCATGGGTCAGCTGTTGGACTTTGAGCGGACTCTGGGGCTGAGCAGCCCCTGTGACAATCGAGTGCCGAACCAGCAGCTGTACTTCACCACCCCTTCCAACCAGAATGTCTTCCAAGTGGATTCCCTGCAGTCCACGTGAGCTCCCACTGCCTCCCTTCTCCTGTCCTTTTCATGGGATCACTCCTCAATGGTTTCTCTTTGGCAGTGATAAAGAAAACGCAGCTTTCTCTTTTTTCTGGCCTCTGCTACCAAAAAGTAGCTGCCAGTGCAGGCTGGGAAAGGTTACACAGTATGGAATCGGCTATTGCGAAGGGAGGAACGTGGTGAGCTCTCTGGGAAGGACCGTGGTGACCAGGCGGCAGGTGGGCAAGGGTGCTCATCCCTGCTGGCGCGGTGGCTTGGGTCCGAGGACTTCCAGGGGGGGTAGGGTAAGGTTGGACAGGCTGAGCACGTGTTCTCCAGAGACTGGAACTGTCCTGCTGCCCTCTCCACTTTCGGATCTGTGACACACATCTCTGTCTTCAGTGAAGACTGGTTATTTTTGTTTGTTTGTTTGAATTTAGAGGAGCCAAAGAAAGAGATTTCAGCTTAGTGTATTGGGAGTACTTGTTTGCCGGGAGCTCGGTAGTATTCTACTTGATCAATGTAAATATTTAATCTTAAATCAATTTGCAATTTTTTTTTTTTGATTTCACATATATTCAAGAAGTCAATCCAAGGGACATCTGTGTTTTTGTTCTCTTCATAAATTCTGCTTTATTTGTGTTTTTTTCTTTAATTGCAAAGAATATATTTGCAGCATGCGTTTATTGTTCAACTGAAGCAAGCTTTCTATGAGGGAGAAATGGCAATGGTGAGAAGTTTGCAAATCATGTTTTGTGAGCAACTGCAGTCTCTTCTTTCATATATCTTTCCTTGTGGTGGTTTTCTTTTCCTCACATTCTTGATGTAGTTTCCACATGATATATATATTTTTTTTAAATTAAATTAATTTTTTTGCCTTACCTTTTGTAAATAGATCATCTGGGAGGAGGTTTGTCTTTGAATGCGAAAGATTTTTGATCACTTTTTAAAACTTTCAGATGTGCTAAACAGTGCATTACCTCTGTACAAATTCTTCAGGGAGCTTCACCTCAAATGCAATATTTTGCATCTTTTTCTTTTTCTTTTTTTTTTTTTTTTTTGTATAAAACTGGAAGTGTGTGCGAGCATTTGTACCTGTGTGTACGCACAGTGAACCTGCACATGGTTGCCAATAAGGGAGAGTCTAATTCACGGTGTAAAAGTTTTAAGATGGAATTTATTATAAGAATGTAAAACCTTAAATTATTAATAAATAAATAACTATTTTTGGCTATTGAGAACCTGGCTGGTTTATTCCCCCTTTACCCTCTGTGTGAGTGTGGTTAATTGCACAGACACATATGGTTATGTTTAAAGGTAATGATTGCTTTCAATGGCTTTTGTACAGCTCCTAAGACAATAAAGCCTTGATTTCCCCTTTAGTCCACTGGTGCCTAAATGAATGAACAGTGCATGTGCTGGATTCTTGCCTTGCTCTGGTGAAGGGTATGCTTTTGAAGGCCTTTATGTTAACTGCAAAATATTCTAGCATCCCTTTGCTACCCCAGGGATGCACTTGACCCTTGGCCATAAGGATTTCTTTGGGGTTCTTTGTTGAAAGAGTAAGGAGCTGCTGTTTTCTGGATTTGTTTACAAGTTTTGGGCACTCTATTACAGATGTTGGGAGATGGGTTCATGCTCTGCTTATCTGTCTGGCAGGAGCTCATTTCACAGGGATCTATCAACAGTCTGCAGCCTGTAAATGACTTTATTTTTTTCTCTTTTTTTTTTCTGTTCAGCCACACTGCAATTTAGCAGGTGAAGGCAGGGAGGAAAAGTCTCTATATACCCTTAGTCACCTCATTTCCTCTCTGGACCCTTCCAAGTAGTTCTGTCTCTGCAGAAGGAAAAAGGGGGGGGTTATAGCAATTGCAAAACTTCCTGCTGCAACTAATAAGTTAACATCCTTCCTGATGAGAAGTGGCCCGAGGTAGGCTGGTGCCAAAGTCTGCGTGCAGTACCACTGCCAGGGTGAGGGGCTGATGCTGCAGCTGGGGCTGTCGGCTGGGGTTCTGCAGAACTCCTGGCAGCCCGAGCACATCTCAAGTAATTTTAGAAACTGCAAGTGTGTGAAATGAAAAGCAAACAAAACATGGGAAAAAAGTGAGTCAGTGTCTCATGCAGTAGTGGCCTAGATTGAGTGCATAAACTGTGAAAGTAGAAGTGGGTTGCAGTTAAACTTGGCTTGTGCTAATCCAGTTTTGAACGGTTTCCGCTCTTGGCATTCCCTGTGCTGCTCTGTTCAAAGTGGAGATTTGCAAGCAGCTCTAGCAATTTCCTGTCCAGCTGCAGCTCAAGTGACTCCCTCTTTTTTTTTTTTCCCCTCCCTCTCTTTTTTTTTTTTTTTTTTTAATATGGTCTGCAGATAATTTTAGCCAGTTTCCTCTTTGTGGATTATTAATCTGCTTTCCTTGTAGAACCTACATAGCTGCGTCCCTACTGTTCTGCTGAAGTCAACAGATGGCCTCCCCGCCACTTCCTCTCGTTTCGCTGTGGGTTTGTTGTCAGGCCACTTCTGAAATTAATAGTGTTTTCTGGCCGGCTGCCACAGGCCATTACCACAAAGGGGAAGTAACACATCTGAATAGCAGGAAGCCGGGCAGGGTCACAGCGTGAACTGAACCTGTTGAGCGCCATCGGGCCTCTCCCGTTCAGCAAGTGTAGGGCTCCTCTTCCCTCCCCACACCACCCCCCCCCCCCCCTGAGAACCAGGTGTTGTGGATTCCCCTCACATCCACTGCCTGTCTTCTCACTCTCTATACAAATGCATTCACCCACAAGAGCGGTAGCAAAGCCTTTCTCAAAAATGAATGTAGCAATTTCTTTCTTTTCTTTTTTTTTTTTTTTTAAATATGCCTTGCACAGAATAAAAGGGCTGACACCGAATGCCTCAGCTGTTTGCACCGGGCAAATATTTCCGGCTGAATGAGTTGTAAATGTTAATTGTGACTAGGTGCCCGTTAAGGTGAGGAGGCACAGAGCAGTGTGCGGCGATGCAGTCTAGGGGAGGGTGTGTGTGTGTGTGTGTGTGTGTTGGCTTTCTTTGCAAGCTGCTTTGAAAAGTTAGTGCTCACAAGGGCTTCCTGCTTCCTTCCTGCTTCACCGAATGACTAACACCAAATGGGTACTTCTGCAATTCATCATTTTTTCAGGACAAGCAAGCAAAGACGACCAGCTTTGCTCACACACACACACATAAAGCAGAGTTGGGCAGAAAACTTGTTCCAGATTTTTCCTCGAGCGAGGCCTGAACCAGGGCTGTTAGTCAGGAAACCTTGGCTGAACTTGAACCGGGACTGGCTGAGAACAACTTTGGTCACAGGCAAACCCAAACCAGAACTGGAGCCAAACCAAAACCTGCTCCAAGCTCTGATTTTGCTGGGGGTGTTCTCACTTGCTTAATTACAAATGGTTTGGTGGGAAAAGTGGTGAGGGCTCTCACCAGCAACGTTCACCTTCCCTGTGCAGGCTCCCTGGTAACTCTGCCCCAGCATGGTGAAGGGAATGGCTCACGCTGCACGAGCACTTACCAGCCTTTCTGAGGTCGGGCTCTGCTTGCTCCTACAGTTTCCCCCCAGCACTTGTTTCAAAATAACTCGCTTCCTCTCTCCCCTCCCTCGTTTCAGTCCTTGCTGGGATGGGGCAGAGATCTTGGGCCACTGGGGGGTTTGGCAGCTATTGCAGTTCCTCAGCTGGTAAAGTGATTTGTAAAGGGAAGAATAAATCCTTTGTGCCTGTAGGGACAGGCCTGATGTCTGTAGGGGAAAGGAGGGTAATAACCCCCCTTTGCAGCTAAAAAAATCACAACGTGCTCTATATTATAAAGTAGGAGTGTGAGGTACTGAGTTCCTTCAGAAGCTATGGAGATACTGAGGGGAAAACTGTACCCTTGGGAGCAATCAGAGCTTTCTTACATGACCCATCTCTGCCTTTAGCACAAAGGGTGAGATTGTATCCCGTGGCATCCATGTCCCCTTTGCTCTGGTAAGGCCAAGGTTCTCCTCAGTGTTTCGGTGCACATTAGCACTGTGCTTTCCAGCTTTTTGTGGGATAACATCGTGTAGCTCATTGTGCTGGTTCCCTTCTTGCATTCCCTCTGTCCTGCTCACACCCCTTCAAACCACTTTATGGCCACTTTCAAAATGTCTTCCCAACTCTTTCTGGGTTTTGTTGTTGTTGTAGCCATAATTTTCTTTCCCCATTCTCTTTCTTGTCCTTTTTAAATGCTGCTCTTCTCCCTGTGCCTGCTGTTCTTCCACAGATTTTTTCTTAAGCCCCATGGGCCTTTCTTACTTCTGTTTTCTTGTCTTCTCTCTTTTCCGTGTTACTCTCTTGCTGTTTGTCTCATGTTTCCTAAATCAACTTCACTTTCTCCCAGCCCTAAGCCTCCCTCTTTGTTTTCACAGTGAAAAACAGGATGAGTCTCATGGACTCGGTAAGTTGTTGTGAGCTATGGGAAAGGCGTGTGTGAGAGGAGGAAGTAAGAAAACACCATTGCTGTCCTCTTGCCACTTCCTGGCAGATGACCTTCTTCCCCATCTCCATTCCCTGTTGCTGTGTAGGTTTGGCTCTGCATGGCTTCCCTGGGACCCCCTCTATAGCACGCAGCACTCTGTGGCTGATTAGAGAGAAAGGGGACGTGAGGAAGCAGCCTTTCCTCAGGGCCCATCTAGTGTCACAGCCCACTGACCCCCCTCTGAGGAGTGGTGAGTGGTGAGAAAAGCGGGGAGAGACCAAAAACGTGGCCGCCAAAGGCAGCTCTGCTAGCAAAAACTGAAGGCAGGCTTGACAACCATGTGTCTGGAGAGGATTTCTTCAGCTTCTCAGAAAAGCTTGTCCAAAAATTTTTTCCCTGTTGAGCAGCGTGATGACACATTATTCAGAGCTCAAGGAAAACCAATTGCATGTGAACACTTGAACTGGGCTACGGCGTAGGCCCTCTCTCCGCACTGCTATAAATCACCAAATGCTTTGCCTGAGTGAAGATGGTGGAACAAATTGCTCAGCCCAGTTCAGTGCCCCCCTAGACCTTGAGTGTGCATGTTCAGCATTGCTCACTTACCCCGGGAACACAAGCGTGGGGCCGGACCCCTCCATCAACTCAGCGGTGGATGTGGGTGACTCCTGGGACTCCAGCGAGGCGCGGCGTTCAAGGAAGGTGGCTGGGTTTGCCCCGAACACCTCACAGCCAAAGGGAAATAAAGGCTACCTACTGGTGTGTTCTCATGGCATGCGGTGACATTGGGGTATATGAACTCTGCCCTTTCCTTCCCCCCACTGATAGCCAGAAATGGATGGTGCTGCATCACGCGTCTCCTTCCTCCATTGCCAAATTTGAGAGATAAGCATGTGCTGTAACTCAGTAGATAGCACAGGCAGAAAGCTGCTATGGGAGCCGCTCTCTTTTGAGTAAAGTGCCTGTCTCTGTAAGGAAAGGAAAAAAGCACATTAGATGCTTTCTGTTGTTTGTTATCGTAGGGATCTGCAAGCGCTGAGGGAACTTTGGAGTGCTCATGGCCATAGCTTTTCCTCATAAGGCAAAGATGAAGGATGTTGACTTACCACAAACACAAGGAGATGATTATCAGATGGAAAGTGGGGGTATGGAGTCTGTTTGGGAAATATTTCTTAATGACAGAAGTTGCATTCAGGACTATATTTGAGAGATGCAACGGAAAGTGCGCCCTGCTCTATTTCACAGCTGCGATCCCCAGGATGCAGGAAGCACGCAGAAATGCTGGCTCTCTCCCATCCCTAGGCTGTTCCAGCACTGCAGATACCAGCGACATAAAATGATACTATGTGGGAGGTCTGTTTACCATAATGTGGAGACCACGGTGAAGCACTTTGCTCATTTCGCTGGAGGCACAAGTGTTTTGGAAAGTCCTGCTGCCAACATCTTCCACCTTCCCAAATGGGCAATGTCCTTCCTTAACTCCAAGACTTTCATTTTAATGAACTTCTCTGTTTTTCTGTTAAAGCTGTGTTTTGGAGCACTATGGAAGTCTCTTTTTTAATCTTTTTTTTTTTCCCTTCTGACCTGAACTCTGTAGGAAATAAATTCCCGTCTGCAAGCGAAGCCATCTGAAAAACAGATTGATGGCTGACACTTGGTTTACTCAGGGCAAAAGTTCTTTATGGTTTAAAGGTGGCGTTTTTTCCCTTTGCTGGGAAATGGTGTCCTTACAAAAACAGACTGGAAGCACCAGTATTTAGCATTTATGAAAACACATTAACT